CCTGGCAGCCTCAAAGGAGCGACATATCGTCAACACATCCTTAAGAGAAGAGGAAGAGTCGAGGGAGGTGAGGCGTTGGACAAGCTCCTCGTCCTTAACACCCATCAGGATCACCTGCTTCAACTGGGTCTCTTCGCACTGCTGGTGGTTACCTAGGCATATATCTACCTCTTCTGAGGCTCTCTTGAGTCGTACATAAAAGGCATCGAAAGTCTCGCCCTCCATCTGTCTGCAGCTAAACAATTCCCTCCTGCATAGAGCTTCATTCCGCTGCCCTTTGATATGCCATTGTAGAATGTCCAGTACCTCCTCTACAGACAAAGAAGAGGTCGGAGGTACCTGCAACGTATGTTCCAAGACACGCTGAGTTTCCAAGGACATGCACATATGCAGCTGAATAAGTTGTTTAGGCTGTGACAAGCTCTGGAGATCCACCATTGTAGTATAATCAGTCCACTGTTGCCGCCATTCACGAAAGGTCTGGAAATTCACATCAGGCTTCAAGATGGGTGGTGTTTGAGCAGCCGCTTTAGGTGGGGCTGGTGGGCTTGAAGAAAGCGTTGATGAGGTATCTGAACCAGTCAGTACCGAGGCAGTGTTAGAGCCAGGGGCTTGGTTAACAGCGAGGCGAGATATCAAAGCTTCAAACCGTGCACTGTCTTCCAATCTCCGTTGGTGGTCTCTCTCTGCCTCTGCTTGCCTTCTTTCTTCATTCTCCACAAGTCTGTTAGCTTCATCCTCGCACCTTTCATTCCTCATGAACTTCATTAAAGCAATTATCTCTGGAGACAACGCTGAATATCGAGGTGAAGGGCTGCGCGATGTGGTGGGAGCTGGAGCGTCCTGTCCCGCTTGGTCATCCATCTCTGCCGAGCTGTCATCCGACTGACTCATCCGGGCGTTGGCTCCACGACTGCGTACGGCACGAGACATAATAACTTATCTGTGTACTGTGTCTCAAATCAATGTTGACCGGTCAGCCCGTCGTATCAACAAGATCTGAGACAAAAAAATAATTAAATGCACAGATAAGTAGATTATATATATAAAATATATATAAAGGAATGGCTGCAGTCAGTGTGTTCGTACGTGTGTGTGTGTGTGTGCGCGCCTCTCGGGCGGGCCAGGCAGGCTGTGAGGGGGTGGAGGGGGCGACTCGCGTCAGTTACCCTCCAGGCTTCGCGAGGGGAGGCGTACTCAAGTCTACTCCTTGCAAATGCCCAGAACATGCCTTTTACCTTGGGAATCCTTTAGAACAAGGTCACACAGTTATAACACTAAACACACAATGCACTAAACACTTCACAGAAAATCACTGTCACAGACACTGCTCAAAGTTGCTATAAATTCTTGGAGGAGACGGCCACTAGCGGCGGTTGACACAGAGAAGGGGTACATAAGCCGGTCTTCCCACAAACTCCACACTTTCACTTGTATAATTATCCAGTAAAATGACACACTGCGCCATGTACGTGTTCTGGGTATCAAGTTCTATCTACAGGAGCGAACACAAACACCTGTAGAGTTTCGTAGGTTCTATTTACTGGATAAACAGATATGTACACAAGGGAGGTAGCGCTCCTTACTCTGTATGGGGGTCAACTGGTCTCTAGGCGACATGTGGTGAGTGATACATTAGCAGCTTCCATATGTCGCCAGGCACATTAATTAAGCGTGTGGGACATGGTAAATACATTGCCACACGCTGCTAGCTAGGCTGAATAAATAGTGTATACAAATGGAGCACATACATAATATACATACAGCATACATAATATACATACAACACCCACCTGTGTTAACATTATCCGAGGTCCCTTTACTGTATTCATTTTTTCTCTCTCGCACTTCCATAATTACTTTTAAAAGAATTTTGAGTGAAAATAGTTCTTAGTGTTTTCAAGGATAGAGTATGTATGTTTAAATATGGCCTGAAGTTTGTATTAAGTATAAACAGTGGTGAAAACTAAGTACAGTGCCAAGGAATGTTCAACCATGTGCTTGAAAGTAAAATCCAACAACAACAATCCATTAGATTAAAATATATACAGTATATATTTTTTTTTTACCTTACGGCCACTCAATCTATAGGTGGCCATGCTAAAGTAAGGAGGCCAGTGGAACGGGCTTATTTGTGGGCTAGTACTGTTATCACTTCCACAGTTTATGTTAGTAGACTGTTCCATAGGTCTACCACTCTCTGCAAATTAGTGTTTCCTTATAATTGTCCTACATGACATCTTGATGAGCTTGAAGTTGTGCCCTTTCATGTTGGTGCAAGTGACATGACAAATTATTGGCCTGGGTTTAAGTTTTCCATCCCTTTCAAAATTTTTAGTGTCTCAGTATTATGGTTTCTCTTGATATTTATCCTCTGGGGTATCCATTGGCCATTTAGGCCTTATTGCAATAGAAAAAAAATCACAAAAGTAGATTAACATCAGAGTGTGGGTGCTTATCAAGTGGGCCCGGTCGTGTCTTGGTCAGAATATACGTAACTACCATCTTCAAGCCTCAGGTCCAATACTTCTACTCGTGTTTCTAACTTTGACTTTGCGTTGCGGTAAAACGCCTTTGGATTTGACTTGATCTCGCTTGCAATCAGCCTCTGGAACTCCTCTCCTCTTCTACACTCTGACTTTGCTTGGTTCCTGGATCTGGCATACATCCTCCTGTCCTGCTCATTTTTTACCTAACCTACATTTTGAATTTGTTTTTGTTTTTTCTTCTTAATTTTGTCGACCGCTACATGGTTCATGTGTAGTGATCTCCTTGTATTTTAGAGGCACTGGGTTTGATCTTGGGTATATATTTATCACTCAAATGGTTCACTTTACTGGCTATGATATTCAGCATAGTGTCTGCATTCTTATAACTTAGTGAGTCAGGCCAGTGGATACCCCTTATCCTGTTGTAATTTCCATTGTAATATTTTAACCTTGGCCTGGTTTTGTCATGAACCAAGGAACAGTTAAATCTAAAGGACAACATTATGGGGTGGCTGGTGCCAACGGAGGTTAGGTGTTCCAGCTTGGCCACCATACCCTCCTCGTTTGTTATGATGATGTCCAGTGGCTTGTGTGTTTGCTCCCCTCTGTAATGAGTCGGGTCTTTAACATGTTGGAACAAAAAATTACCTCTCGGAGTTTCTACAAAAAGAGTATCAGGATTATTTAAGTCATTTGGCATAGATAAAGTCCCCCCATGACAAGGAGGTGGCTAGGGTTGAGCACCATTGTGTTGTCTGTTAAGGTTATTAAGGTCCTTTGGTTTAATAAGCTACTATAAGGTAATCTGTAGATTCACCCGACAATAAGTAAGTCTCCCCTTTAATTTAATTTTACACCTCTTTAATTCTTCAAAAACATCCTCTCCCTGTACCCTCACCTGGCTGGCTCTAAGGTCTTGCCTAGCATAGATAACCACACCCCTCCTGCAAGTTGCTTGAGAAAGGTTCGTAAATGAGTCATATCCGTCTATACTGAACTCACATTCCTCCAAGTCATTTCTACTGTTCTTGTACAACAGTTCTACAACACCTGCTATATCAGGTTGATGTACTTTCATTAGTGTTTCAAACACAAGTGCCCAGAAAAATTCCGGTGATAAGAAAATTCATCTCAATGCCCATAAATCTCGCAAAAGCAGAACCATTCTGCATCAATTATTCCAGCTAACAGGGAGATTACTTATACAGTATAGTGTGTCAGTATCGTTGAGAACTCTGTTATAACACACATCATAAAAGAGAACGTTTCTTCTCTTCCAGTTCTCCATCATCTCCCTTCTGTACTGATGTACCCTATGGTGTTGTTTCTCTGGGTCCTGATATGCCCCACAGTGCTAGTCCCTTTCTTTTAGCCCTACAATGTCCTATGGCTTCCTCTGCCCCATGAGATCCCTTCTCCCAGCCAAAATGTGCCCCATGATTTACTTTTGCTCTTTTCTTTTATTCTCTTCACCACTGATTGGCTCTTTAGCCACTTGGTTGGTCGGTCACGTCTCTGTTACGCACTGTTGGCAAATACTGGGCATGCACTGGCTCCTGAATGCATCTGAACCTGCTCCAATGTTGGTCAAGTCTGATCATGAAAGAGCTCACACTCAGTGCCATCACAACACTGGCAGATTGCTCCAAGAGTTCACAATTCACACTCCGAAAAAATTCGCCCTCACAGTTTTCGAGACTTGCGGCTTCTTCGACCTTGAATTTTGACCCCTTGTGGGGCGGTCATCCACCAGCTCCAGGTATGAACACTCGATTGAGTAGTGCTCTTAGAGATGTTTATACACCTCAATTGGGTCACCCCTTGCCCGTCTGTAGTATAAGCTAGACAGTTACAGGCGCTTCAATCTCTCAGGGTAGTTCAGGTGCCGAAGAGCAGGCACCAGTCAGGTGGCTCTCCTTTGGACATTTTCAATCAACTGACAGTCCCTAGCATATTTTGGGAACCAGACCGGGTGACAGTACTCCAGGCCTGGAAGCACCTCACTCTTGAAGATTGTTACGAGGGACGGACCGTCTAGATATCTGTACGACCTACTTATAAGACCTGATAGTTTAGTTGCTTGATTGACCTTCTCACAATGGCCCCAAAACTTCAGTTCATTGTTAACATACACACCCAAGTCCTTTTTACATTTAATCTGTTAATGAAGTTTCTTTGTCCGGTTGGGGCATATAGTACACCTCCTTACCATTGGTATGACCCAGGTGCATTCTCTTACACTTCGTGACATTGAATCTTAGCGGCCATTTCTTCGACCACTCTTGAAGCTCACAGAGATCTTTCTGGAGCTCCACGCTGTCTGTTTGGTTCTTAATTTCTCTAAATAACTTGGTATTGTCCGCAAACATTTGTATGGAGGAGTGTATAGCTTCTGGCATGTCATTTATGAAACAAACAACGGGCCCAATACACTACCCTGTGGTACCCCGCTTGTCAGCCCCAATATACCCCATGGTTTCCTCTGCCCTGACCTGCCCCATGATGCTGCAGGTGTGGACTTGGAACCGTGAGGGGTGGGACGCTACAGAAGTTGGCTACCCCCGTCACCTACCTGGTCATCTCAAGTGTGGTGGCTCTGGTACAAGGTATCTTCTATACCTACGCTAATGCCACTCTCTCCACCGTTGAGAAGCGCTTCAGACTACCCAGCAAGATTTCAGGTGAGACCACGTAGAAGGAAGAAACACATACAATTACCTGAAAGAGGAAACTTGTAGAATTTCATGAAGGAGGGAACCTGTAGAGTCACCTGAATGAGCAAACATGTTTCTGGGAGGACAAAATCATCATTGAAACAAAAACATACAGTACTTGGGAAAACATTTTACCTGGATGGATAAAAAACATACCTTTAGGAACAGGAGACATGTTTATAGGGACAAAAACTTAATTAAGGAGATAAAATTTGACTTGTATGGACAAAATCATGGTTGTATCCTGTAGAAACAAAGAAAATAAATAGGCAGAGCCAAAAATGTATTGATAAATTAGCATGAAGGACAATGTGTTCTTGGTAATGCTTGACAAATTAGCCTCCACTTCATTACATTGTTTTTTACTTTAGTGCCCACACAGACTTTGCTCCACTATTTTCCTCTTGCCACAGGTCTAGTGACGACAGGGAATGATGTAATACAGCTGGTGTTGGCGTTACACATCAGCTTCTTAGCGGGACGGGGTCACCGTCCCCGCTGGCTGGCCCTGAGTATGTTGTGTGCTGCCCTGGGCTGTCTCCTCGCTGCCATCCCTCACTTCATCTTCGGTGCTGGTGATTTGGTCTCCTTGCAGCAGGATAATACCAATAGTACCCACCCACCTAGCAGTGAGTTAGTGCCAATCAATACTAAAGTGAGCTGGGAAACAGGTTTATGAATACTGGACACACAATTGCCTGTACACTATAAGTAACCAGAGGGTTTTCGTACAGCAATATGTTATAATACACTTGATACTGTGAATATATAGTAGTAGGTATTAATAGTGAGTTATAATGCCAATGCATATAAAATATAACTACCATACTCTAGGTTTATTTTACGTTACACCCATTTTCTCTCTCTCTCGCTCTCATAGTTTTGTTATAGGGGATTTTTATTTTGTTATATCTTAGTTATATTGTCATCAACGTCTTGCATTTCCAGAGGAGTTGTGTGGCTTTTCGGACAACTCGACCTCATCCTGTGAGACTGACATGGCAGCCATCGGAGCAGAACAATACACTGTAGTTACTCTCCAACTCCTCTCTCAGGTGAACCTTCATCACCCCCCACCAACCCAACACCACCCTTACATCACCCCAACACCACTTGACACCACCCTAAAACTACCTTACATCTCCCCCTCACACCACCCCAACACCACCCTTACATCACTCCAACACCACCCCAACACCACTTGACACCACCCTAAAACTACCTTACATCTCACCCTCACACTACCCCATCACCACCTGACACCACCCCAACATTACCTCACATCACTCCAATGCTACCTTACATCTCCTCAACACTACCTCACACCTCCCTAACACCACCTCACACCTCCCTAACACCACCTCACACCTCCCTAACACCACCTCACCTCCCTAACACCACCTCACACCTCCCTAAAACCACCTCACACCACCCTAACACCACCTCACACCTCCCTAACACCACCTCACACCTCCCTAACGCCACCTCGCACCTCCCTAACGCCACCTCACATATCCCCAACACCACCTCGCACCTCCCTAACGCCACCTCACATATCCCCAACACCACCTCAGCATATATCATTATTATTATTATTATTTAAAAACATTACTCCTTGGGAGTTTCTTGTTTCAAGTCTGTGGAGTATAATTGATGACTCACACTGAAAGTAACTGACTTTCTCTCATTGTTAATGTTCATCATGACTACGGTATATGGTGCTCCATATTGTTAAGATATATGAGGAGCTCTTAGTGATATACTGTATTGTGGTATGTGACAGATGCTGGCAGGGTTTGCATCACTAATGTACTACACTATTGGCTACACCTACCTTGATGAGGCTGTCAGTAAGAAGAGGGTCCCTATTTTCTTGGGTCAGTAGTCTTGGTTTTTGCTTTAATGTTTAATGTGTTTGTGCTCTCCTTCGTGGAACTAACTCATGTGATTGTGGTCAATCAGATGTTTCTGAAACATGCTTCAAACTCATCCATCTATAATGATCATTGTTAGTCACTTGTGTTCAGAGCATGTTTCTAACTTGTTCATTTCATAGTCGGTCAACTGTATTTAGAACTTACCTCCTTCTCACCTAACTAATTGTGTAAACTTCCTCTATTTTTGTAATCAATTAGTGTAAGCATGTCTCTGTTATTTTTAATCAGATACATTTACAGGTGCTTCTAAGTTTTTTCTGCTTGCTGTATAAAATATGCTCACAATATATATTTATATTTTATTTTTGGTGATCAGCTGTTTAAAACATGCCTCTAACATGTCTTTTATTATATTAATCAACTGTGTTTACAACTTGGCTCTAAGGTTTTCTTTCATTTTGATTAATGGTGATGATTAATCAGCAGTGTTTAGAACATTACTAAAGGTTGGATTTTAATCAGTGTTTAGGTCTTTGTGCTTAAATTTTATTTTGATTAAGTAGCTATATTTAGAATATGAGTAATTTATTTTTTTATTAATCAGCTGTGTCTGGGAGTATGAGGATCCTGGGCCCAGTCTGTGGGTACTCCCTGGCATCATGGGCTCTGTCCCACTGGGTGACTCCCTCACTCACCCCTGACCTCCACCCCAGGCATCCTAGGTGGGTTGGGGCCTGGTGGATAGGTAAGTGGATCAGTCCGTCAATAAATGGGTGAATGGGAATATTTGATAAATGATATATTGTGTCGATCATTTATGCTTTTAGATTTTTTTTCTTCTTCTCTGCATCATCTTTAACGCTTTCACTAATGGGATGCCATTTAAACAAAATTATATGACTAATGCCAGACAATTTTATTCAGCACAGAGAGACCCCCATGCACAAAGGGTTAAATATATGAAAAGAATGAAAACCTCAACCTTACCTGCTTCCTTTCTAGGCTATCTGGTAATTGGCTCCTCCCTGCTAGTGATCACCTGGTCCCTAGTACTCATGCCACGCACACTACCAGGGGCAAGGCGGAGAGCACTTGTTGAACTGAAAACTGCCGCTGAGAAGGGCAAGGAGGCTCTCCAAGCATTTGCCGAGACTCTTCGACCTGCTCAGTCCAAAGGCTATAAAGGTATTAACCTAACCCATCCTAATCTAATTTTATCAAAGTTGACATAACCAAATCTAACCCCAGAAGGTTGTATTAGGAGGAATGATCATCAAGTGAAATAAGCAGGGGTGTCTAATCTTCAGGTAATTCAGATTAGATTTTACATTAAGTGTGAGAATATGTATCATTTGGGACTAGAATATTAATATCTCTAGATTTTGAGGATGTTAATTCCTCCCTGTTGACGGCCTCCCCAGTTTCGACACCTATTTTTCATTTCTGCCATTTATCAGCTTATTGGCCATCTGGACACTTGGTCTGTTCCTTGTTACAACCTTCATTTTCCAGTGTTAGGACTGGAGGAACACTGGAATACCCAGAGAAAACCTGTTATGTTTGGATGATTTCATCTTGTCAATCCCCATTCTGTACTATAATGGCTTAACCTTCCCTCACACATAATTGCTCCACCTTTCCCCTTGATACATTCATTCTCCATCTTCCTCTGACATTTCCTACAGGTATGTGTGGCAGCCTGCGGCGGCTGTTGACCAACAAGGTGTTCATCCTGATCACCTTCAACCAGGTATTCTTCTGGTTTGCTTTCTTTGGCTACATCACTTTCAAGCCCAAGTTTCTTGAGCACCAGTTCAAGATGTCAGCAGCAAAGGCCAACCAGTATATTGGTAACTATTATGCTTTTTGCCCTTAAGTCTGTGGCTGTCTGTGTTTATCTCAGAAATACCCAACAGGAATGTTCTTGGAGTGACAATCCCCATAAAGAGGTCTTGGAGACAAGACAAACTCATGTAATATTTTTAACAAAATAACCTGGCCATGCCTATAAGCATTTTATTCTTAATCATGTTTACTTACAAAAACAAACTTCCCAGGTGTTTATGATCAAAATCTCTTCATTATTCACATGATTTTCATAAACATGGTTGTAAGCTGAAGAGCTCATTGTGTTAATGCTGCCATTGATGAATGGGTTAGGAAAAACGTAGTTCTGATTTGAGTTCTTTCAAACATTCTTCTTGTGTGTGTACTCATATATGCTGTGATTCTTGTACAGTAATTGTTATGTATATGTACTGTATGTGTAGGGCTTAACATTGTACTATGCCCCAGACAGTCATGTGTAGCCATTGTACTGTACTGCACACATCATGATCACCCTTAACTCTCTTCATTCATATTACAGTTGCATACCATTCAAATTCACCGTGTTTGTAGAGGGTCACAGAAAACGGTAAACTTTTGGAAGGAGTGTCTCACATGCTATATGTTATTTTATACGAATTGTACTAATGTACGGGCTTATCATATTAAGTGTATGTACTGATAGTATTAAGGAGAACTCAAGGTATTTATAGTATGACTGGGAAAGTCCAATTGATACAGTCTAGTGTACTACAGTAGGCTCTCGCCAATAACGTCTAATAGGTGCCTGAAAAACACCGTTATTAGCGAAAACGTTATTTGTGTGACATTAAAATACATGTAAAAAGGGTTTATTGGTGCTGCCGCCCCAAGAATTTCACCCATTTTTTCCCCTTTGTAGCCCTGCCTAACACTTTTAGTGAGCTGAAATAAAAAGATTTGTTATTCAATCATCAGAATAAAGAATTTGAGTAATATAACACTTACCTTGGGGGAGTTTTTGAGGTGCTTGGTGTGATGATTGTTCCGAGGCTGGGGCATGGAGGCTACTGCGTCGAACCTCCGCCCACATCCCTGGCCCCATCTCTGTCCCCGTCCCCATGCTGGCCTCTCGCACCCGGTTCACCCACTTCCGCTAACGCTTCATCAAACTCCGGGCATTCACTCGCTCATTGTACTGCTTCTGGTACTGTATTTTCTTGAAATAGATTCTAAAACTCCAATCACTTGCTCCCTTTCACCTGATTCACTCTCAATGTCTTGGATCATCTCTTGAAGGCTGGTAAAGACACCTAATAAGAGTGACAGCTTCTGTGTCGTCACTTTCCTCTGCTCGGTCTCCCCTGCATCACTCGCTGCATCACCACTCTCACCACCTTCTTCATCCTCCAGGAGATCCTCGACGTCATTTGTGTTATCTTTTTGCATCGGTTCTTCTAAATCTTCCCGAGTCACTTCTTGAAATCCTGGGGCTGGGATACTGCGGACGGTTTCCAACACTTGGTTCATTAGCTCTGTTGGCTGCTGTTTCTCCGTCTCGGCAGACTTGAGTTGTGGCAGGAGTGCCAACCAGGCATGCCTAACGGTTGCTTTCGTAGTACAGTATTTCCCCAGGCTTTTACAAAGAAATTGACTGCCTGGTGAATGTTATAATTTTTCCAGAAGGCAGTAACAGTCATTGTGGAGGTTGAAGGTATGCCAGGAGGAGGAGTGGAGGCGGAGGCTGTGAGTGAGCCAGGTGGAGTAGCGGAGGCGGAGGGTGTGTGAGTCAGGTTGAGCAGCGGAGGCGGAGGGTGTGAGTGAGCCAGGCGGAGCAGCGGAGGCGGCGAGGGGAGGACCCTCCTCCTCGCTACTGCTCACAGTTTCAGCAATTTCCTTCACTTCTTCTTGCTTATTAGTTCCTTCCTCATCTTGTCATGAACATATTTGTAGTACAGCAACTTTACATCCGCTATGATTTCTTGGTCTAGTGGCTGTATTTTGGAGGTTGTATTTGGCCGTAGAAACACAACCTCAACGCTTGGGTGATGTCCTACTAGAAATCGTGCATGACTGGGGGCATTGTCTAGAAAGAGCACCACTTTGAAGGCTACATTCTTCTTCCGGCAGTATTCTTTGGCATCCTTAACAAAACAATCATCAAACCACTTCTTTGATAACTCCGTGGACATGTAGCCTTTATTTGTCTTTTCCCAGTAGACATTCAGTTTGGACATATCACATCCCTTGTAAGCTCTTGGTCTTTTATATTTGTAGATCACCAGAGGCTTCATGAGGCAGTCACCTGAAGCATTACAGGTTAGGAGGACACTAAAGCGATCCTTTGCCATTTTCACACCTTTTGCCTGTTTTTCTTTCTTAGAGATAAATGTTACTTTAGGGGAATTTTTCCAAAACAACTCGGTCTCGTGACAGTTAAAAATCTGATCCAGGGTATAACCTCCCTCTTGAATGATTTGATTGGCAATTTCAGGGAAGGAATCTGCAGCCGTTAAGTCAGCAGACGAAGCCTCACCCCGATACTTTGCATACTTTGTGCCACTTCTAATCTTAAACTTATGCAGCCACCCTACTGAGGCATTGAAAGGAGGGGGAGACTTAATGTCTTTCATTCTACAAGCTAACCATTTCACAAGAAAATGCTCTGTTATTACTATCAACCTGTTTCTATCACTTTTATCATTCATAGCTCGCCTCGCATTTCCATCACTACCGAAATATTTCTTAGCCAGCGCAATACTCTTCTTGGTCTCCTCTAGGTTCCTCTTAATATTTCGCACTGTAGACTCAGGACAGTTCAATTTCCTCACTGTTATCGCCGCTGGCTTATAAATGCTGGTGTCAGTTGTTGACTATCGCTGCCTTCCCCGAACAAACTTTGGATCTCTCAGAGCCCCCCACACGGCCTGTTGCCTCGTGAGATGTGGCGGCTGGGGAGGGAGTGTTCGGATAAAGAGTTCCTGATTCTGCTGGATGTAAAGTTTAAAGGGACGTGGCTCTCATGACACAGATCTCCCTCTAGTGATGCCCCCCCCACGTGACCTGTGACCTTGCCAGATGCGGCGGGGTGTTTACCGCCAGCATCAGTGCTGGCACCCCAGGAGTGTTATCAGTACTGGCGAGTGAGTATTGGCGTGTGAGTGCTGGCGTTTGCTGCCCTACCCTAACAAAGATTGGGGGGTGGGCGGTGTTTACGGAGAAGAGGTCCTCATTCTGCTAAATGAATGGTTTAAAGGGTGGCGTGGCCGCCTGGACTCCAGGAGATCGCTCGCTCGAGTGATGCTGTGAGAATCAGCCCTCGAGTGATGCTGTAAGGAGCAGCCTTCTGCTCGCACTGATAAACACCACACAATCTTGTCCAAGAATTTGTGCTGAGACAATTTACACAGTACTGTTGTCTCTTGGAAAACCATACTGATCTGCATTGACCCGCACTTGTAAGTACAGCCTAAGTGAAGACATAACCCTCGGTACTGAAATATTGTTGACTAATTACGTCTACTCGTTTCTGCCGAACTTGGAGTAATAAGACAATGCAGAATGAAGCAAAGCTAAGATTAATAGAGTTATAAACTTTGTATCATGTCACTATGCTCAATAATCAATTATAATTAAGACAAATTGTGTGAGACTAACGAATTATGTATAAGATAGATCACCATGTAATACTAATGAACGCCTTGTTCTCTGCAGGTTTTGGCCACATCAATAAATATTGAATGCGTCAACAGGCGGGTTTCAATCATTCCCTTTGACTTGCCCGTCACCTGAACGTCCTTATTTCCAAGGCGTTTATATTCACAATATCAATGTTCCTTGCACCATTTTCAATGAGCTCAACAATCTGTTCTTTATCCTTGACCGAGTAGGCTCGATTCTTGTAACTTTGTCTCTTAGCTTTGGGGTCTTTTTCTCATTCACTTTAAAAGTTCCCGGGCATTTGGGTGGCAAATCACTCCATCCACCACCTCCCCTAGCCCCCACAGGCAAAAACGCAGAAGCCATTGTTGATCACCGACCCTAGCAACCACTGGTTATAGAGGCGAAAATCTCACACATGGGCGCAGCGCTGTATTCCACGGAGCGTGTGTGAGAGTGAGGCGGAGCGGACAACATGGCAGCAAACAAACGCTATCGTTGATGCGCCCGGACGCTTCCCGCGAAATCTCCGTTATTCAAGAGATTCCAAACGCTATTATTGAAAATGGGTATCTATTGTAACTTACCTTTCTTGTTGAAAACGTTATTGTGGAAATCGTTATTGGCGGTGTTGGAAGGTCACCGTATTTACGTCTGTACGATTACCGAACCTAGCTACCTTAGGTATCAAATGAAAATATAGTCTTTATCGACTTACGAGGATTCCGTCCCTACTACCAGGTCGTAAGTCAAATTGGTCGTAAGTCGAAAAGGCGAAAATAATACATAGAAATTTGAAAATGAAATACAGTACAGTAAAAGTAATCAATAATGGAAAATGAATAAAGTGTTACTGTGCACTTACCTTTAATGTAGTCATCTGAATGCACACGGGGCCTCAATACTTATTTAATTAAGCATGGAGACTACATTAATTGGATGAAGCAGAGGAGGAGACAGGGCTGGGTGGGTCATCAATGTCGCTTTCTTCAGACAGGTTTATGTACTGTGGAAACTTGCTTGTTGAAGGTATTGGATCATCTTTAGGGAGTGAAGAGGCAGCAGTGGGGAGACTTCTTAAAAAATATGTCCAATTTAGACTGCACAGTTTGCCTTTTCTTTTCATTGTAAATCTCCCTGTAGCAAGCAAGTGCATCTTGCATCAGTCTGTCAACTTTTGCAAAATGCTCAACATTTTGATCCATTTCTTCAAACATTTGCATCCCCTTATTAATGGTAGGAAATGCCTCTGCCATTTGTTTCACTGAAAACTTTTTGGGGGGTGCAGGTTCCTCTTTTCCATTTTGTCTCTCTTCTTCCTCTGCAATTATCTGTGCATCCAGTTCAATAAGATCCTCGTCACTTAGCTCTTCTGCTACACTTT